CAAAACACATCTTCTCCACTTTTTTCTGAGTGGAAAATATATTTTATAAATGTTATTTAAAATAACATTCCCTGGTCTCAATAGAAATACTATTTATAATTTTTCACCAAGTTCTAGTATTTTTTTTCATTGTTTTATTTTGAGCCATTAGTTGTAATTAGATTATTATTTCTCTCCAATGTAGCTGGTCAGGTTTTTTCATCAGTTCTTGTGCCAGGTAATTCTGAGGATGTTAAGTGTGCCAGCAAATGGACTCCTTACAGTGCATGGGCTGAGGCCAGATGCTCAGGAAGACAGGAGGCACTTAGTGATGTAGTTGCCCAGCAGTGGGGGGTGGGAGGGAGGGGGAAAGGAGAAGGTCGAGAGTAATGAGACAAGGAGCCTGGTTCATTACCTGTAGGAGTTCACCCACAGGTTGTATGATACACTGAGAAAGATGGAACGTCAGTAAAAACGCATTCCTTACCTTATCTTGGATAAAATATAAAAGATTATATAATCTGGTGCTTTTTAACCAGCAAGCACTTCTGAACCAATATTTCATAAAATAATACTACTCTGTTGGAGACTGAGCTTTTTTATACCAAGCACCAGGTTTTACAAGATACCCAAGGACCTTGATGTAAAAACTGCAAATTTTCTGATGTGCCCTTAGTTTCCCTTTTATTTTATTATTTTTGTTTAGTTTTCCTTTTTAGCACCTCTTTGACTTTCAAACTGCTAATCTCTATACTGATTACCTCAGAGAAAAGGTTCCCAAGACCCATGAACCATTTTTTCATTCCATCCTTAATTTTTTATTTCAAAAGTACAGACTATATTACTGAATTTTGTACCTTGGCTTTGTATTTGATATGTTCTTGTCCTGTTATTTTTCATAACCTTTTGGTTATGAATAAAGTAGTGACCATGATTAAGATTGGAGAGGGAATATATGAAAAGTTTTAATTTGCTATCTTTTGGTTTTGAGAGCTAGATGATTAAATGGGAAGCTGCAAACCAAGCATTGTAGTTCTAGTATAAGAGGAAAAAGTGTGAGAAACAGGCAGACCTGCCTAGCCTTCCTGAAACATTAAATCTCCTTGAGATAAGATAAATAAATGCATGAAAAGAAAAGAAAAAAATAAAGTTTAGTAGCCTATGAAAATTTGATTTTACAGAGTACTTGACTTTGCATGTGACAGAAACAAAGAAAACATAAATAATTGACATACATTTAAAAGGGGAGAATGATCAGTGAATTCTGAGGATGAGAAAACTGGAAACCCAAACTTAATGAGGGCAGTTGTCCCCATGTCTGTTCACCACTGGCTCTTTACAATCACTGCCTGCCACTGTCCCTACTAGATGATTAGCTCTCAGTTAATGTAAATTGAATAAGCAGATATGTATTTGTTGAACAAATTGAAGAGTGCCTTGAATGAGATAATTTATTTGGGCAGAAGTGAGATGCAAAGGCTTGAGAAAATATTAGGTGGTAGAGGTGATGACTGAATACATCAGAATACTAATGTGACAAGCTGTGAGAATGGGCACAAAGTTGTGGGAAATAAGGCTGCTAATGGTAGCTTGGAGCCAAATGATAAACATCTTTGATTGCTGGACTTAAGAATTTGGAATTTGTTTTTTAAACAGAGTAGAATTTTTCTGAACAGGTGGTGGCATTGTCAAAGCAGTGTTTTAGGAGTAGTCTAAAAACAGAGTGGAAGTTGCTATGAGGAAGCCTGGAGACCAACTTTGAGACCCATAGTGAGGTTGAATAGGAATTCTTTGAACACTAGTTGTATCCAATAAAATGATGAATATTTCCTCATATGTAATATATTCCATAAATATGCTTTTTAAGCCCTAGTGATTGGACATAAGACGTAGCAGTCTTTTTCCATGTATTTATTTTTTCCAGTATTTAATTTTCCATGGCATTTTGTTATTGATCTTATGGCTTTTCTGTGAGATCATGGTATAAATTTTGAATACATTTGTTCTTCCCTTATTTGCCTTCTGTTAATGTCAAGCAAAGCACATGAGCCATTTCTTGTTGCTATGCAACTGCTAAATTCAATATTTAATATTAATAAAACTGAGTAGCATTAAATTCAGTTAACAGAGAGTAGCAGAATATGGCGTTACAGTGTCTAATTGACGATATTTGTAAGGTTTAATGTATAGTTGCAGATGTGAGCAAAATAGGAGTGACCTGTTTATTGTTACTCTTTTGGTCAAAATTTGTGGTTAAATCCACCAGGGTTTTTCCTTGTTTGATTCTTTTTGGTCTTTCCCTTTCATGGCTTTTTGACATGTGGTTCAGTTTTTGTTAGTGTCTCTGTGTTATTGATCAAGTTTTTATTCTATTTTCTTATTCTTTCAGATTTTGTTACTTTTTGTAATTTTAATAATTTTCACTCTCAGCTTATAAGCTTTTTTGGGGTATTATTTCTTGCTATATTTACATTTTTCCTTCTCAGGAATTTATACTTAGTATGCAAGTTTGGAATTTGTCACAATGTCATATAAACCCAGGTGAAAGCATATTACATGTGTTCTTTGGGACAAGAGCCAACATATAATCTCCTTTAGCTATTTGCAGTGTGTACTTGGTACTTGAAAAATATTGAAATGCTTTCATTAATATTTGTGAAATAGATCTTTAGAGTTGGAGACAGGCTGTGGGATTTATTTAAGGGGGGGGGGAAAGCTAATGTTGAGAATATCTAGTTTGCAGGCCCAAGATAGATAGGATCTAGCCATTCCTTCTCATGCTCTTAACCACCATCTCCCCAACCTCTAAACCCCCAGTCCAACCCTTTCTCCTCCCTAGTTTGGGGAAGAGAGGCCATAGTGATTTAGCAGAAAATGTTTTAACAAATATTAAACAGATACAGACACCTCTATTTGCTTGAATGGGTAGTTTGGTTTTGTTAATGTTTTTGGAATAATTTTGATGGGAAGAATTAAAGAGGGTTGGAAGACAATTGCTCCTTAATAATAAATGAAAAATCTAGAACCTAGAAAATAGTGTAGAAAAATCAACTCTTTACAATGTAGCTAACACAAACTGTAGAGATTATTCTATTGAAAACAATGGCTCAGTACCCTGGACCAAAAAATCTTTTGTGCTACATTCTTCTTTTCTTTTTTTAAATTATTAAAAAATGTTTTAAAATGTTTATTTTTAAGAGAGAGCATGAGCAGGGTAGGGGCAGAGAGCGACTGAAACACAGACTCCAAAGCAGAGTTGTTAACACAGAGCCCAAGGGACTCTGGGCTCAAACTCATGAACCGCGAAATCATGACGCCACTTAACCTACTGAGCTACCCAGGTGTCCAGTTTTAAATTATTTTTAAATTTTGCTCTTTTTTCGTTTTAGGTTTTAATTTTAAGTAATCTCTGAATTTACCATGGGGCTTGCTTGAATTTATATCCCCAAGATCAAGAGTCCCATGCTCTGCTGACTCAGACAGCCAAGCACCCCTGCATTATTATTCTTATAAGGAGATAAAATACTGTTTCTGAGGATCATCTTTTTTACCCCTTTACCTTCAAACCCTTTATGGTGATTGTATTTGTAGTAAGGAAACGCTGACTGTGTGTGAACCTCATGTATCCACCTGGCTATAGTATTTTAAATTAGTGGTTCTCTCCTTTTTGAGCTTAAAGAGTACTTTCTAACTAAATTTTTTAATTATAAACTTGTAAGTGATTATAGATTATGTGACAGAATACATAGTGCCCCAAAATACATAGTAATACTAGGAATTCAGTAATATTTCGTGTATCTTTTAAATTACAGTAACTTTTTTTTGCATTTGAACAGTACTATGTACACTGAATGCACAAGACATATTAATTCTTTCTGAAGATTATTCTTGTAGTACATAAGGATTCATGGATTCCTTGTAACTGTTTGAACTCCCATTGAGGTCCATAGTTTGGGAGCCACCACTCTTAACCTGTTATTTTTGTAATGTTCTGTAAAGGTACAATATGATCCCTGTTTCTCTTTTCCCTCCTTATTCTCTAAATGAAGCATAGGAAACCGCAAGATGGCCAAGACTTTTTCATTGTTTTTTCATTGAATTGAGCAACCATATTTGAGGTAATAAATCAGAAAAAGTTTTTTTTTAAAAAATAATGGTGGAAGGTAATAATATTCTAAACGTACATACAAGTATATTTGAATTTTTTCTTTCCCCTTTTTGTATGTATGATTAGTGAGTTCTGCCTTCATAAAGGAACCAGCAAGTAGTTATTGTAGGAATGTGAAAAGATTAAAAAGATCTTTTTCTTTTAAAATATTATGATCTTTTTCTTTAGTAGTAAAGGTGTTCTTAGTGAGGATTTTCCTTCTTCAAAAAACTGCTGCCTTGAGGGGTACCTGGATGGCTTCGTTAGTTGAGCATTGGACTTTGGCTGGGGTCATGATCTCCTGGTTTGTGAGTTTGAGCCCCACATTGGACTTACTGCTGTCAGTGTGGAGCCCACTCTGGATCCTGTCTCCCTCCCTCTCTGCCCCTTCCCCACTTGCGTTCTTTCAAAAAAATATTAGCTTGAAAAATCTGTTATCTCAGTTGATATTCAAAAACAATCTATTTAGATTAATCCAGAATGTTGTGGAAATTTTGGAACAATTTGACTTTCATTGGGAAAGGTGCCTTTTAAAATGGAGTTTGAGCATTTATGTAAAGAGGTATTTGGGATTTTCTAAAATGATAGGAGAACCCGTGTATTTCCATTCTTTCATTGGTTATTTCTAGTGTTGTCTGATTTGTGTTCTTGAATGTGTTGTGAATTTGTATTGAATGTTAATCATGGACAAAAATGCAAGTGTTGCTTTAAGTTTGTCATTGATACTCTTTCCTCAGCATCCCTTCTGTAATAATCTGGGGATCCTGGAGAACTGGAAGAACACACCATCGTTTTTTCAGCAGCAGATTAATATTATATTACTATAGGGAGTGTTACTGTAATCATGGATTTTTTTTTTTTTTCATCCTTTCAGGGTTTGAAAGTATTCTTGAAGGGCTGTTTGGACCTGCATTATTAAAAGATCTCAGTTTATTTAAAGGTATTCAAAATCATTTTTTTTTCTTTTTTTTTCTCTTTGGATTTCAAATTCTTCTTGTTGACATAACTGATACTTTTGTGATTTAAGCCTCAGTCTCTTTCTCCTTTTTATTCAATTCTATGTGAGTTAAAGCTGTATCCCTATAAACATCTTCTTGTGTTTAGTTGATAATGCAAATATATGTATTAATAAGATATATTAATTAGTGAGCTGTTATTAAGCATTTTAAGACAAGTAAGGGACCTGTCTAGTACTTAGGGTTTTTTGTTGTTAAAATAAATAATATTTTTGAAATTCTCATTTGTTTGAAGAATTCCCTTTTGTAACTTAATTTGGTATTCCAACTATTTTTGCAGACTGTGAACCTGAAAGCATTTCTGATTGGACTTTTGATGAAAATTGTCTATTCTGTTGCTTGAGAAGAGATAAAGTAAAGGTAACGAAAAAAACTTGTGTAACTTATCTAGTATGGTATTTTATAGTTTTTATTTTTTCAAAATTTGATTACTTTGTTGGAGGATTTGTAGGAAAAGGAAGGCATGATTTCATATTTATTTATAAAAGATTTGATAGTAACTGAGTTTTGCAATTTAGACTGTTTCTAGTCTGTTGATTAACCTTTTGAGAAATCTATATTGCAACATGCATTGCTTTATTTATATAGTTCACTAGCAGAATAATTAACTAGATCTCAAACTGTTGAGTATTTTAAATATGAAATGTATGGTAATTCAAGCATTGAGAGTTATTTGTACAAAAACAACAGTGGCATGGATCTGGATCAAGTAGTTACTAATTCATGTAGATTTATGATAAACTATGGTTTATGCTTTAGTATAGATGTTTCTTCATAATATTGGAGCATGAATGCTGTTTATATTCAGTTGTAGAAATTGGCTGTATTCTGTTTTTATTGCTTTGTATTAAACATAAATGGAGTTTTGGTTTAGAAACATCTTTTCAGATGTTGGAAGCATTTATTAATAATGGTATCCTATCTTATGTTTCTTTTCATGGTAATTTTATTCTCTATTTTAAAGCTGTGGAAGCATTTTGAATTCTTTCCTCCCCACTGTACACTTCTAACTAGATCATTGACCGGGTTCTGGAAGTTCTTCCTTCGTACGGAATTTCATTCTTTTTTTTCCACAGTCATTACCATAGTTCAGACCATTAGCATTATTTCTAAAGTATTGAAATAACATGATTGGTCTCTTTCAGTTTTCTTCAGTCTTTTAAACACTGCTACACATTTACTCTCCTTCTCCCTAACCTTCATCTCTCAAATAGTGTGGAAACAACATTTCCAGCGACTTTCTCATTGTATTCTGGATTCATTAGCCTAATGTTCTGTGCCTCAGTACTCTCCACAGTTCAGTTCACTTCTTTTTCTAATGCTGCCCCCCAGTTGTCTTTTATGATTTTCTTTCAGCTGAACTGGTCCAATCATTTGTATTAAACAACATGCTTTTACTATCTGGACTACATCACTGCATACCCATTGTTCTCTATAGCTTGAAATTCCCCTGCCCTTACTCTTACCTTACGCTTCTATCCTCCTGTCACTGGTATACCTCTGCTCTTATAACTGTGCTGTTTCAACCCTTCACACAGCTATAGTAAATGTTATCCATAGCAGTTATTTATCCATTAATATTCTGCCTTATTTTGTTCCTGTTTTTCTATGTTTGCATGTTGTGCTCTTGACTGCATTGTCAACCTCTCAGTGCTGTGAACCATGTTGTATACTTCTTTATTACCTTTGCGTGTAACGTATTACTGTATCATTATTTATCATTGCTGGCAAGTTGCTTTAAAGTCTGAAACCCAATTTTAAGAGCTTTTTAATGTTCTTTTCTTGTTTACTACACAAAAACGTTGTTCCTGGGACTATCCAGGACTGTTTCCATTGAATGAATGAGGAGAGTGTTTTGAAATTTAATGTGGTTTGAGAAAGACCAGAAAATTAAGCAACTACCATTGAAGTTGGAAATTGATCATTTTGAATTGTGTGTATATGGACACATGTACATGCATGTTGTGACTGTTGAGCAAGTCATTTAGTAAGCATTTTGATGGAATAGAAGGAGCAACTGTTAATTACATTTTTAAGGGTAGGATTGGGAGGAAAGCCCTTCTGTAGTCAGTAATCGAGTACAGTATATTCTTGTAATAAGATTGAGTTTTCCATTGCTATTATGAGGGTAAAATATTGAATGAATATTTTTAGAAGACAGAATTAGCAAGACATGGAACTATGTAGCTTTTAAAACAGCTCTTACTGTTTTAGTTCCTCAATTTCTAATTGCTTTTCTAATTAGAAAGAATATTGCCATTTGACAACTTAGCTAGTTCTGGGAAAGCTGGTATTCTGTATTAGAAACTTCACTACTTATCTTTGGCATTTAATTTTTTCAGAGATAGGCATAACAACTACAGTGGAAAAGAGGAAAAGAGAGAGCTTAGAAAATGTAAATTGTCAAGTATAGCTCTCTAATTGTTTTAGATTTAAAGTGATTGAACTGAGACTCTTTGCGGGCACTTGGAGCATCTCATATGAGAAGAACTAGAATGTGGAGATAAATATATTTACTGGTTTGAAGTTTGCACTTTTTAAGGCTGGCTTTAAAAGAGAAGGAAATATCTGGAGACTATGTTAAGAGCCAATGGGTGGCAGCATAGAGCATGATAATGGAATCTTGAGTTTGCAGTTGGCATGATGAGATCTCAAAACGATATTTGGAAAAGCTTTTAGAACTATTGGTCTGATAGTTGGGAAAGAAATGATGCTTATGCATGTTTTTTCATTTTGCATTTTCAGCGGATACTGAAGCTGTTAAAATGGTTAAAGTAAATAAATAATTTATTTTTTTTAAAAACATAGGTAAGAAATACAAAGTAGGTTCTTTGAAAAATAGAACAGGAATTCACTTAGAGATTAGCAAAACAATTGTTGATCTACCCTTCAATATCCTATAGTGGTTAGAAAATATCATTTTTAAGAGATAGGAAAATAACATTTTTTGAACATCTTTTGTGTGTACTGTGTGCCATTTACTTATATTTATTCCCATTTATATCCTCATGGGAATCCGATAAAGTTGGTTAAGGGCATCCCAGTTTTATAAATAAAGAAATTAGAAGGGTCACAGAGACTTAAGTTACAGGCAAAGTCACATGGCTGGAATTTGATCCCATGTGTTTTTAATTATATGCATTTTGATACCTAGGAAAAGGAGCATGGAAAGTGGAGAGCAGGAGTTAAAGTAGAACTTGGAGTTACTCAGTTTGAAAGATAGGAAAGAGAGTAAGCATGTAGGTGATCATGAGTGTATTTGAAAGAGCCAATCTCAGCTATGCCTAGGAATCCTTTAGTGAGTGCCTGCCTCTCTGGCTGGCTGGCTGGCTTCTTTCTTTTCTGTTTGTTGGCCATATAATGGACACTCTGTAAAATATTTACTAGTGAGGAATTAAAAAGTCCTAGGAGGCTTAATAAATTTGGAAAATTATATTAATAGCTAACTTTTCAGGCTTACATGTGACAAGCATATGCACACAGTTATCTGTGTTTATATACTACATGAGGCTTTTCTACTTAAAAAAAAATAATTTTAGACAAAAAACAATAAAAAGAGCCACTGTTATACCCTTTACCCAGACTCTCCATATGTTAACATTTTTCAATACAGGGATAAAAATCAGGACATGAACATTGATACAGTATTATTTAATACATACACCTTTCACAGCTCACGAGTGATCCCAGTAATATATTTTTCTCATTCAGGATCCAATCTAGGATCATATTTTGTATTTAGTTGTCATGTATTCTTAGTCTACTTTGGTCTGGAATAGTGGTTTTTGCTTTGCCTTTTATAAGTTTTGAAGAATACTGATAAATTGGTTTGTAGACCATTCCCTCAATTTAGGCATATCTGATGATTCCTCATGATTGAATTTAGGTTATGTATTTTTGGCAAGAATTCCACAGAATGATGTTGTGTCGTCCTTAGTATCAGGAAGCACATGGTGATGTTTTATTTGATCAGTTAAAGGAGATGTCTGCCGGTTTTCTCTATTGTAAGGTTTTCTGTTTTTTGTACTTAATAGATATCTTGTGGAGAGGTACTTAGAGAATTTGTAGATATCTTTTTCTCATCATACTAGTTTCTCATCATACACTAATTTTAGCATCCGTAGATGAGAGTTGCTTGAAAAATTACTACCTAGTGTTTGCCAAATAATGATTTTCTATTTCTGTTATTTCTTCTGCTTCTAGTAGTTGGAATTCTGCTCTAAGGAAGAGTTTTCCCTTCTCCTCTATTTATGTATTTATTTGTTTACCTATCAATATGGAATCATGGATTCTTATTCTATGGATTATAATTCATTACAATTATTCTTTAATTTTATAGTGCAAATTGTGCTAAATTTGGACATTAAGAGCTCTTTCAAGTTGGCTCCTCATCTTTTTTTGACTTTTTTTTTTTTTTTTAAATAGCACTTTTTTCTTTTAAGCACCAAGAAGTGTTCCAGACTTATCTCTGCTTTCTCTGTCTCAGCTCTGGATTTTTCCAAGGAACCTTAGTTTCTTTTATTTGGAGCATAGTATAAGAAAGAAAGCAAGGTCTGGGAACTAAGTGTCTTTATCAGAACTAGAGTGTCATTACTTCTAGGTTTTCTCAGTTTTCTGAGCTAGGAATTATTATGTTTACTTAAATATATATACATATACATTTGCATTTCTTTATTAAAAATCATTTTGTGAGGCTTTTATTATGATGTGTTGATAGTATGAAGAGCTGATTCAGTAGTAGTGAGAAGGTGTTGGAGAGATAGGAAGAATAGAAAATTGCTTTCAGTATTTATTGTCCCTAAAAATGGGCTAATTCTAAGTAATAAATTTATGGCATGGCTATGCTTGTATTTGGGAGATAGAGTAGAGATAGCTATTGTAGAGTAAGAAACCTGGATATTTTACTAACTAGGGTTGATGGGAGATAGGATGATATACCAAAGTATAAAATATTTGGGTTTTTTTTAGGTTTGTTGTAAGACTGTTAGTAAGTTTAGTATTTGACTAGCATTTTAGGAAGGTGTTTTAAGAAGATGAGACTTGAAGAGTACATAGGCATGTATGAGAGAGATGTCTTCTAGGTGGAGCCAGAGCACTTATTTTTGGATATAATCAGAAGGTTGGAGACAAATCATATGGATATCCTTCACTGCCCGGCTAGCTGAAGAATTATGTAATGAGATTCTTTTCATATTTATTATTAGTCTATCATGTTGCATTCAGTATAATTTGTTGTTTCACAGATATACATTAATTAAACGTTTAGATATAGTCTTTTAACATTTTACTTTTTATTACTACTTTAGCACTTTGAAAGTTTATAGTAAGAGCAGACAGTGATCCTAGTTGTTATTTTCTTG